TGGCCTGATGATGAAAAAAAAATTAAACACAGGACAGAAAACTGGACTGTGAAAAAACTAGCAATGATCATGTGGATCAGTATTGCAAAAACTATATAAACATAAATGAATCATGCCAACTAATATGATGTTTTTGTGCAACTAAGAAAGCTCATCATGGCAACTGAAAACTACCAGTGTGCAACCTGCAAGAAAACTAAGAAAACATACTAGACCTGACAACTACAAAAAGTTCTAGGGAATGTGCAACGATAAAGCATGATATTGGAAAGAAGATAACAACAACTAAAAAAGGTTTGCAAGAAACTATTCAATAACCCATAAACACATACAAAAAACCACATACCTCAGCATCCGCTGCGGAAGATGAGGCAGCTCCTCCACCAACTGCTGCCTGCACAAAAATGGTGACCAGTGATGTTAACTACAAAGATGCCAACTCATGTCAACTTCTGCGAAAACTATATTTACATCAAGATGACCAGTGATGTCAACTACAAGATGATAATTGAGCAACTAGAACAAAATAGTTATGCCAACGGCTGCATAATTTCATCAGCGCCTAAAAAACCCGAGAAACATTTATATTCAAGGATTTACTTACCCTAGTAGATGATTCAGCTCGCCCTGCTGCTGCTGCATGTTTAGTCCGCTTTACAACCCAAAACCGATCAACATCCTAAGAAAATAAAAAAAACATGGGCATGTGAAAAAATTTATTATATGACCCAAACAAAACCAAAATAAGGTGAATGTGTAATCATCATGCCCTTACCTCAACTTCCTCTCCCTATTGAACGCTACACGCAGGGCGTGGCTGGCGATTAGCAGCACGCTTTGAGTTCCGGCGAAGGGACTGACTTCTAGAACCCTAATTAAGCAACCAAAAAAACATGAAAAAAGGACATAAGCATACATGGATAAGTTGAAAACAACTCAAATATGCAGAAAAAATGAGAAAAATACATCTCCTTCATTGCCATCTGCATCTCCTCCTATTATAACCATTTTTAGCCTGTGGGGGAAATACAAGAAAAGAAGTTGTCACATCCCTAGCTTCTGGTGCTGCCTAGTGTTGCATCATGTTTAAATTCAAGGAATTTGAACTGAGGAAATTAGAAAGCCTCAAAACTTTGTAAAAGAAGGGCAAGAACCCTTTAAATTGCATTCAGAGATTCCAACATTCCCTAAAAATCATTCTGGTAATTTTGGTTTGAATATATTTCTAGGACATTTTTGGATTTTTGAATTAACTCATATTGTATTTGAGTTGGGGTTATAAATTCCTATAAATACTTTTATAACTCCAATCATTCTGAAAAATATTGTGGGGCTTTGGGCTAGTCCATATTGCATCCACAAATAATTTCAGGAGCAACAAAAATGTACCGGTCCTCTCCTCTCCTCTCCCTTGCTCTCTCTCTCTCGCGGCCGAACGCGCCGGTCGCCGCCGCTCACTGCTGCCACGGCCAAAGCCACCTCTTCGCCCTCCGGCCGAGTCCAGAAGCTCCGCCTCGTCGCCTTCATCCTCCTCGACGAGCCACGCACCTCCGGACGGCCTCCATCGTCGTCACCGTCGTCTCTTCACCGCCGGCCGCCGTGGATCCCCATCGCCGCCCCGTCGACCACAGCGCGTCCCCGAGCTCGCCGTCAAGCCCATCAAGATCGCTGTGATCTGCCGCTCCTCCTTCCCCTCTCCGTTCTCTCCCCCCGCACACCACCGCCGTGAGCTTCGCTCCGGCGAGCTCCACCCCCCAGCTCCTCCCACCTGCTCCACCAGATGCGCGAGAGCCCGGGCTACGCCTCGGTGCTCTCAGACGTCGTCCCCTATAACGCGGACACCGCCGTGTCCCGTGGTCGCCGGCGACGACCTCGCCGGCCTGATAGGTGAACCCCACCGTCAGGTGATTAGCTTAAGCTAATCACCAACTAACCTAACCTCTGACGCTGACATGTGGGCCCCAGTGCCCCCTAATCTTTAATTAAGCTAAACTAACACCTCTGTTTAACCCGTGTCACTAACGTGTGGACCCCACACGTCAGGTTTGACCACTCAGCGATGTTGACTTGCTGACGCAAGCATGACGCAGTGCTTAGAAGATGCGCAAATGAACTAGAGAAAACATAAAAGCTTGCTTTGATCTGCAGAACTCTACACATAAGTAGGACATCTAGTGCAAAAAACTGTAAAACATGAGGATAACCAACTACTACAGTGATGCAGCCAACTGGGCAGTCAACCTTGTGCAACTGGACAGCTTATAAGCCAACTAGTTTCACTAAGGCAAGAAATAACTAGGCAGAAAAATAGTTAACTAAAAGCAGCCAGCTGATTATGATAATTTGTGCAACTGGAAAAAACAAAAGCCAACTAGTATAGCCAACTGGAATATATGAAAAATTAGGTGCACCAGCAGGGCACCTACAGGGGCACCTCGAACACGGGAGCAGAGAAACTTGTGCAAACTCAAAAAACAGCATATAGACAGCCTAGTAGAAATCAGGAAGCAAGCATAAGCATGACAACCTAGCAGCCAACCTAGTACAATGCAGAACATGTGGACAGCCAACTAGTATATGGACAACCAACTAGTAAAACTGATGCAACCAACTGAGCAGTCAAACTTGTGCAACTGAACAGTGTGTAGACACCCGACTAGCATAAACTGGTGCAACTGCAGAACATAAGGACGACCAACTACCATATGAATGAAGCCAACTGGATAGAATTTTGTGCAACTAATAGAAAATCTCTACCTAAATTTCTACCAACTTGTGCAACTGGACAACATATGCAAACAACTGCAGAACATAAGGACAACCAACCCCCAACTAAGCAGATTAATAGACAACCAACCTAGTACAAACAGAAAGCCAACTAAGCATGACAACTAATGCAAATTGCAGAACATGTGAACAGCCAACTAAAAAAAGGGATGCAACCAACTGGGTAGAATTTTGTGCAACTAAACCAATAACTAGTTCAATCAGCAATTGCATTGCACACATCTAGCACATCATCTACCAACAACCAAAACTGCAGCAAGGACCAGAACATGGTATATGGATGGTATATTGGGCGCACACGTACCTCAAACCGCAAAAATCCCAAGCACCACTCGGCCATGACCAACAAAACACTCAGTAATGAATCCCCACCATCACTACTCCTTACAACCGCACAAAATCGAAGCAAGCACAGAAATGGGCAGAAGAGGGACCCTATGCAGCCCGCCAGACCCGCCACCGTCAACCTGGCCATGGCCTCATCCCCGGCGACGAGACGGAGAGGGGAAGGACAACAGAAGTCCTCCGCGGACGTCTGTGTCGACCGCAAATCCCAACAACCACTCCGCCGACACCAACACACCCTACCACCATGAATCCCCACCACCACTGTCCTTTGCTGCCATATAAATCCAAGGACAGGAGAGTCCAACGAAAGCACACACGACACGTCTACGCCAAATCGACCATACGAGGCAGTTGACGCAAATAGGAACCCTAGGAATCCCAGCCCGCCATTTCCGCCATCGACGACCTCGAGACAACCTAGACCCCCGGTGACGAGACAGAGAAAGGAGGGACGCGGGATGCAGTCGGTACCTGCAGCGCCGACGAGGGCCAGCAACGAATCCCCCCGCGGAGATTTGGATAGCAGCGGCGCGAGTCGCCGCGGAGTGAGAACGAAGACGGAGGAGAGGAGGAAGGAATGGGGACGAACGGGAGAGAAAGGGGGGAGAAAGGCCGAGAACGGCTCGCGTTTTGAAAACGACCGCCCACGATCTACGCCACGCCCGCTTACATGTGGGTCCACGATCGCCCCGGATAAGGACAAACCGCCCATAATGCGCGGTCGCACAAAACTGACCAGGGAACCCCCGGCACTCGGGCGATACCGATAGCAAATGATCGTGCGGTCGCGGGCCGGCCGCCCATTCTCTCCAATTAGTGCGTATGCACTTCTAAGGTTTTGGGTACATACAATAATAACCACTCGTCAAAATCGCTAACAAAAAGGCGTTCTGTTGTCTTCGCACACCACAGTAGTGTGAACGATCTACTCACGATTCAGCGGATACAAAGGACAGAGTCCAGCAAAAATACAAGAGGTCTGCAGGGAAGGCACTTGTATCGCTGTTTGCATGTTGGTACGCTATCTGTCCCCAGTTTACAGTCGAGTACTCAATGGTCAATAAAGTTTAGGAGACTTAAATCTTCATCGAAGCACCAGTGGTCTAGTGGTAGAATAGTACTCTGCCACAGTACAGACCCGGGTTTGATTCCCGGCTGGTGCACTTTTTCCTCCATCTCATCCGAAATGTTTTGGGCTGCCGTTCTCGTACGTAGTGAGTGGAGCAGAAGAACGGAGGGCTCAGCCCGTGGCAACATCAAGATCCAGAAAATCAACCGAGGGCGGTATCAGTTTCCATAGCTAAGTAACATAGGATATGATGTATATATAAACGAGTGTTCTCCTGTCCAATTGCAATCCTTTTACTGAAAAGTCTGGCAGTCTTGCGAGAATTGATACGGATGTCTCCAAGACATTACAATTCTTAATCTGCAGCTTTTTGGATGTTTGATCAAAAACATTATACCTGTGATAATAGCGAGTATAAATAAAGCTACAGGTACTTCTAAAGAAATACACGTATGAATTTAGGTGTCGGATGCAACGCAGGTACATTGAAACTGCATTCGCTGTCATTCCAGTTTCTCTGCACTTGTAGCGCAAAGCTGATGCACTGATCTAAACGATCTTATATGTCTTTACAGAGGGAGTACATACTAATGGAACTCACTCCAGTTCATATTTATATACATTGGGCAGGTACACGCATGGATGACTTGGAAGCAACAAGAAAACTAGCTATGCCTGGTGGTATTTATGTACATCAATTCATATTGTATTGTGATTTGTCAACATGCGGCTACAATCAGTCAATCAGCGATCCAGCATCTGAGGTCAGTGATTCCATCTGCGTTTAAACATCACATCAACCCTTCTTGTTTGGAGACTGCGCCAAGTACAAAGATGCAGATGGTGGCGCAAAACTTGTATTGCCGATAAACCAGTAGAGAACCCACTTCAGGTTGCAAAGCATATATTTTAGAGCCTTTGTCCAGTTCTCCAGTTTATTAAAACTTAAGAAGATCGTATAGCTCCCTACTTTGTCACCATCAATCCTGTGAAACGAAGAGATGAACTTAAAGGTGGATACTTAAGATATCTTTCAAACTTATGATTATATTCACCCCATAAGTGATCCGGTGCTTGTAGTCAAACTAATTTTCATATGAACCAAAGAAAAAAGAATACAATCACAGAAATCAGTTGACTACATATAATAAAAATGTTTATGGTTGCCAGTAAAACCTAGATCATCTGAACAGATTTCACCTCATGTCAAAATCATCAGTGACATGCCGCGAAATTCAGAAATAGTGCCAGAACCAAGAAAGTTGCAAGAATCCTTACTTGTAGGGGAGCTTCAATGACTTGTCAGCCGGAACATTGTTCTCTTTATCCAAACTTATGGCAAACTCAGAGAACTCTTGAAGGCAAGTGAGAAACCATGTCATGGCTTTGTCAAATCGGGTGCTCCAGAATAAATTCACAGGACCAAACCTGAACATCAACAATGCATCTTGTTAACTTCCCAAGCATGATGAACCCGCACTGCTCAACAAGAGAAAAAAAAAACACAGACCCGAAAGAAACTGCCAGCAACTAGAAAGGATAACAATGATTTTATAACTTCCCTTCGATATACTCCTACATGCACTAACCAACGTAACAGATGCTAAGTGAAGGTCAGATTAGCAAATGATAAATAAGGCTGTAAATCTGCAAAAGATGTTCAATCCAGCTATTTTACCACCATATATGTGAACAGGTTCAATAATATAACCATCATTATTCTATTCCACGAGGGAGACCTAGATATCATCCTAGGTAAAAAGGGAGTACATTTGCAGGATAATGCTTACAGTTCATAGGTATTATTGTTGATGTCTGTTACTCTTGGGTAGCTTCCCATAGGGTGAATCTTGATTCGGTATCTGGATAGAAGTTCAGGAACTCACAGCAAAATCATCTCTTCTTGGAACACTTCTAGTGTATGTAAGAATTACTAAAAATTATAATTTAAGCAACTTAAAGGGCAGCCCCAGTGCATGTAGCTCCCGCTTGCGCAGGGTCTGGGGAAGGGTCCGACCACTTTGGGTCTATTGTACGCAGCCTTTCCCTACATTTCTGTAAGAGGCTGTTTCCAGGACTTGAACCCGTGACCTCATGGTCACAAGGCAGCAGCTTTACCACTGCGCCAAGGCAGCAACTTAGCAATACAAAAATAGGCCCTTGTTACCAGCAAACAGATCGAGATAAAAAAGACATGTTCATCAAGGATACTGGAATTTCGGGAAGTACTGAGCCATGGTGTGTAACAGAAGAGCAGCCTGACCCCAAGCAGCATTTATCTCATCCCACTCAACCTACGGTCAAGGGAACAGAGGTTTGTGGCATTAGCACATATAAGATAAAATGTGTGTGCTCCAAATACAGATTGAATAGATCAACAGAACATAAGTGAAGTACGCAGGGCAGTGAATGAATCAACAAGGGATCTGCATATCCAGTCAATAAAACCCGAGGGATCTGCATATCTCTCTTTATTCTAAAACTAATTCATATCGCAGGAGTGCCGCCTCCTCCTTATTAAGCCAAATGACCTTTGAAATTATAACCGTTGGATCACTACCAGTTAGGCGAGTAAAAATGGATGCGTCCCTTGACTTTATGATTGCATAGAACTTTTTCTGTACTACAAATAGGAATATATGAACTACAGATGCATCTGAATGAAAATTTACAGTAATCTATTGTATGGTTCTGTTCAATGCAGTGTGCACGCAACCACGGGGCACTGTAGCTCCAGCATAATCTTGTACAACATAATTATCCAAAGTTGCAGTATCAAAAGCCAGCAGATCCATTTTAAGTTAACAATTTAGTAGACACTATAAATATCTATAAAATTGCGAGTGTGCGGTGCATAGAGTTGATCACCCGCATCCACGAACACTACATGGATGTTGCACTTGTACCAATTATACAAATGTAACTAATTAATGTCTTGATTGCATCCTTCAAACACATTGATGTCATAATTGAAACAAGTAGCAGTAGCAATGTGCAGCACAGATTATAGTTTGTATAGTTACCTGTACATTAGGCAGACGACCGAGACGGAAGTTGTTTATTGTTCCAATAACTCCATCATGTGAAATATAGAATGCATCATTGAGAACATTTGTGCGCTTTAACAATTCCAGGTGGACCTGTGAAACTTCTATCTTGGCCAAAACCGCATCTCTTTCTTCCTGAAAAGTGGAGTACGCAATATATTTTCAGCCATGACTTGGAGCATCAAGGGCAAATGCTAACAAGCAGTTCACACATTAACAAAAATGCATTATGAGAAGACAAAATCGTGATGCTTTAAAAGAAAGCATATGAAACATAACAATGCTGACTCAGTGTAGACCATATTGGCTTTTTAAGACTAATGGAGTGTTGCTCAGTGACTAGAGGGTGGGTGCATGCCCAGCCTACCCGCTTTCGAGGTTTCGACTCTACCACGCGTGCTCACTATTATTTTCCCAATAAAAACGCCACTGGTGCTAGTGCCTGTCAATCGGATTTTTTATATATTGGCTTTTCAAAATATTTTTAGTTATGCCAACAAAATACAGGAGCATAAAATAAACTATATAACTGGTTCACTGATCTGGAATAAGATGCATGGCTCATTTGAAACATCAGTTGGAAAATGCTGTTAATTGCGGTGCCAACAAGAGTGTACTCCCTCCATTTATTATTATAAGATATTTTGGATATTTCAATATGGACTACATACGGACTGAAATGAATGAGCAAGCATACTAAAATATGTCTACATACATCCGATTTATAAAAAAAAGTCAGAACATCTTATAATAGTGAACGGAGGGGAGTAGATGTCAAAATATGACACAACAGTACGTACTGGAAGCTGACAATGTGTGGCCTGTAATAGGTATGGTATATATACCTGGTGAGATGTCAGCTGAAACTGGAAGCTGTTGAATTCATGCCAATACCTGAATACAAGTATGACACATTAGCTTTGTTTACAAAGTAGTTGGAGGCTTGGAGCTTAACATAAGCCAACCGAAAATAATCAGATTGCCCCCCACCACTGTTTAATTGGAAAAGCAATGCCATGCCTGTGCTCCACTGTGGTATCTTTTGGTGCCAATCATATAGAAAACTATTTTCAGTTAACAGTATACTACCTAATAAAACACAGTCAGTTTAATTCCGAACAGCCACATCTTGAATGAGGAGTGGTTACTATACTAGAAACATTATAACGCTGTACTTATGCCTTCAGTAATCTTAATGCTTTTTTACTTTAACCGTATCACAGCTATTATACTCTAGAACAATACCATACTGCATCATGAAGAAAAAATGATCAGGTGCATCGCCTATAGTGCCAAGTATACATGCTCACACCCGAAAGTAAACAGAAATTAATTTGAGAATCTATCCTTCTTCTAGAACAATTGTAAGACTAAAAATATGATGCCTGAACAGTGGCATGGTGAAGAAAACACCAACCGCTCTTCTAATTCTTCAAATTGTTTCGACTTTGTTTCAAGATCCTTCATCTCAGAGCTAACTTCAGAATATTGCTTTTCTGCTTCTTCAATAGCAGTTTTTAGTTTCTTTTCTTCCTCCTCTATCTGAAATGGCAAAATACACATAATGCAAAATCGAATTTGTAAAGTGTTGCCTGAAAATATTTTACAAGAAACTAATGAATGCTGCCAGTTCAGAAAATAACAAGTGTCGATTAAAATTTTAACACACAAGGAATATCTCTACAGTACACTGGCCAAAATCATGAATGAATACACTTTAATATATCTATATATAGAATTGAAAATGAACACATTTTCATTGAAGGTACTGGTGCAGTGCCTACTTTGATTTATTAATAAAAAATATTCCTTTGTCTTCCATTATCTTCTTGTCCCAAGCTCAGCACTTCTCTTAACTAGATACTCCCTCCGTCCGGAAATACTTGTCATCAAAATGGATAAAAGGGGATGTATCTAGACGTATTTTAGTTCTAGATACATTTCTTTCTATCCATTTTAATGACAAGTATTTTCGGACGGAGGGAGTATGATTTAAGTCTATGTACAGAAAATTAGACATCAATTGAGCATAGGGAGCATAAACTGTTTACTACTTCTCCATGTTGTAATTAACTGTGTTTAGAAAGTACAATACAAGGTCAATTACACAACTCATACAAAAGTAACCCCGAAATTGAGCTAACAATAATATTTCATGTAATTTCTGCTATCTCTCAGGTAGCTGCTCAAGCTATACTATACATATGAATCACAAGAAAAATGTGTTTTCTTTTCTTTTTTCACGAGAGACTAGTACACATTTTCATCTATTGCTATTTGATATGACAAGAGCAAGTAGCATGAAACTGGAGTTCACTAAAGTTCTTAGAATTAAGAATCTCCTGCATGTAGGTCTGTAGGATAAAGGCATATAACTACTACTCCCTCCGTATCCAAATATAAGATGTTTTTTGACACTGTCATAGTGCCAAAAACGTCTTGTATTTTGATACAGAGGGAGTACACAATAAACCCTGCATCTTGTGACCTCATCCATTACCATCTAACATGTATATGTTACTATTGAATAGAGATCAACACCTTTTCTTTCTCCTTGAGGAAATCAGTTTCGCTAAGGACGTTGTAGGATTCCTGCTCCAAACGTTGAAGACATGCATCATAAGCTTTGATGTCAGTATTTACATCCTCAATCTCCTTGTCCATCTTATCAGAAAGCACCCTCATACATTCCAGACATAGTGGCTGCTCAACCTGCAATATATTTCATATTCACACGTGTTAGCACTGCTTTTTTTCTTCTTAAAACCAACACACTGATTAGTGTAGTGCAGCAATGACACAACATGCAGCAGCAAAAACAATGCAAATCTGACGAAATTGAAGCAAATGCATGTGCATGCGTGTGCTCAGTACAGAGATATTTAAAACCATTTTAAAGCAACTTATTGCATCTGAGTTTGTCAAGCAGCAATCTCAAAATACCCGTATTAGTAAATACAAGCAAGTTAAATGCATAGCAACAAGCGGTAAGAGTTGCATATACATGGACACCACACACTATAAATACCCAGTCTCTTTAATTCGCAGGATTTTTTTTAAGTAGGAATAGGAAAAACACACAATTGCAATGCCATGTCCACTCAAATCCTACAAGATTGAATTTGTTCCATATGTCTGATCGCACTACAGGAAAAAAACAAATAAAGGATTCTTTCCAAGAGGCTTCAGTGGATGAAAAATTTCCTTTGAAATACTCCCTCCGTTCCAAATTACCAAATCTACATACACATCAAAACTTCCTATCTCAGCCAAGCTAGCACCACGACGAGTAATTTGGAACAGAGGGAGTACAGTGCAAAGAAATCCACAGGAAAAGTTCCAATGGGATTCAGTTCTACAAATCAAACAACCCACACAGGAAAACATTCCTAATGATTTTAATCCTCCAAGAATGCTATGAAAATCCTTTTGAATCAAACAGGTCCAGTATGGAAACGTTTCAAGTAACTTATTTACCTGAGTTTGTGAACTAGCAATCTCAAATGCCCGCTTTAAGACAGTCACACTAGAGTGAAATCCAGTATTGTTGCCTGGTGAAGGGCTAGTAGAGTTAAGATTTGGAGGCGACAGATGCGCGCCACCACCTTCGGAGGTAGATGTCTTGTATATGGAAGCAGCGGCAGGTGGAAGCATTATATATGATCCCTCTATTGCTCTTGTTGATTGGTTAGGCTCGACATGCCGGGCTGCTGCATTTGGTGGCCGTGGGGGAATCCCAGGGCCTTGAGATCTGTTCTGCTTGGACAACACAACATAAGAACTGTCCATCCTGCTCGCCCCCATAATACTGCCTTGAACAGAGGATGCATGCATACCTGAACCATTGATGGCATAATAAGACGTAATAACCATTACTACCACAAAATAGAATCTTCGAGAAACTTACTTAGTAGTGTGAACAAACAAATGGAACTTCAACTGCTTCAAAGACAAATCCGAGACACCGATGCATCAGTTATCACTGTATGAATTTTTATCTTTTACAGGTGCAAGCATTCACTGGTTCATTTTTTATAAATGCAATAATATCCCTTTAACAGGTAGCAGAGTTGTATTTCTCGTCAAATATCGAGTGCAAACAAGTCAAAAACTAGAGTTCTCCAGAAACAGCTATCAACAATTCCATCAGAACCTATATCACTCAACATACCCTATGTTTGCTAGAGAAAACTGCACTTGTCACACACAATTCAGTTGCGCCGTCACATAGAACCGGCACTCCCTCGATTGTTACCGCAAAGCAGCGCTAGATTAAAACTTATGCAATCGCTACAGGCTCATAATAAAGAGGAACGAATCCAACGGAGGCAAAAAAGTACCGGAGTTGGCGTGAGCAGGCAACCTATCAGGGAATGATTCCACGCCGACGACGAGGAGCGCCCGGTGGCATTCCTGGCACTTAAACCGCGGCAGCGACGGGTCCACTCCGCGGCCCTTCTCGCCGGCGGCGGCCTTGGGCTTCATGTCGCAGCAGTAACTCGGGTTTAGCTCCGGGCGTTCTCGCGCTTGCGGGATTCTGAAGCTATGTGTATGCAGAATTCCTCCGCGCTTCCAAGCTTAGGATTCCTGATGAACCCCGGCGTGGGGAGGGGGGATCGAATCGGAGGCGCGGTGAGTCCGACCTGGACTCCACACCAGGAGGGAGGGACGGGAGGAGTCGCGGACCGAATCGGGGTGACTTCAACCGCACGCAGAAATGAGTACGGAAGTCACCCTGACGTGGGGCGCCCACACCACGTGTTGGACCCGCCTGTCAGCGGTGTCTTCTCTCGGTGGGACGCCGTGGCCTGTGCTGGTGTACGGGGAGAGACCGGGGAAGTAGGCCGAGAACGGCGGCGGGTGGCGGTGGCCTCGGAGCGGAGAGGAGCAGAGACAAGGCGGAGAAGGGAGAGGCGAGGGAGGCCAGCGGGCGATGGCGGCGTCGGAGGGGAAGGGGATCTGGGCTTGGAGGTCTCCGCGTCGGCCAATTCCTTTGCTTGGGCAGACCGACCTGTGGAATAATCGGGGACGCACGCGGACGGACGGATAGGCTCCCGAACGCGAGATCCGACGGCGTGAGTATTCTGGGGCCGATCCGGTGCTTCATCATCATAGTCAACAAAAGTCTAGCGCCCTCTCTCTCTTTTCCCCTTCCCTTCACGACCTCCGCCAGAGGCCAGAGGTAGGACGCTAGGGTTTCGCCGACCAACACCGTCCACCGCGCGCCATGGCCGAGGCCTCCCGGTACCAGATCCTGGTGCGGCTCCTCGACGGCCGCACCCACTGCCTCCGGTTCTCCACGCCCACCGTCTCCGGCGCGGCGCTCCTCGACGCCGTTTCCGCGCTCTCCCGCGTCCCCGCCGCCTCCCTCCGCCTCGTCACCGGCCGCCTCGACATCTCGCCCTCCTCCGTCCTCGCATCCTTCCCCGACGGGCAATTCCCCTCCGCGTCCGCGCTCCTCCGCCTCCGCGGTGGCAAGGGCGGGTTCGGCTCCCTCCTCCGTGGGGCCGCCTCCAAGGCCGGCCAGAAGAAGACCAGCAACTTCGACGCTTGCCGCGACATAAACGGCCGCCGGCTCCGCCACGTCAACGCGGAGCGCCGCCTCGAGGAGTGGAGGGCCGAGGCCGCAGATCGTCAGCTCGAGAAACTTGCCGAGGACTTCCTCAAGAAGAAGGCCAAAGAGTCAGGCCGCGGCGGCGCCCGAGCTGCCGAGGTTGACAAGTATCTTGAGAAGTACCGAAAGGATGCCGAGAGCTGCGTCAACGCCGTGGAGGAGTCGGTACGTGCCTCCCTTGGGAAGAGGAAGGCTGTCCCCAAGCCACGTGATGCAAAGAAGCTTAAAATTTGGTGAGTGCTAAAACAACAACTTTTCTTTTGTGGTGTATACCCCACTGTATAAATTTGATAAACTGATGCATATTGTTTCAACCATAGTTCATTTTGTGAATTAGTAGCTTATTTCATAAATGTATTTGTTTTCCTCTGGAATTTTAGTGTTTGATTTTGTTGAGATGTTAGCCAAGTTTATATAATCTAGTAGCTTGTCTGGTACAATTGAGTCTGGATGCCAAGGATAAGTCTGGACTGTGCTTTTTACATGCTTGAGATCCTGTCTAAAAGTTATTTTAGCTTAAATCGTAACCACAAATACGGTGGTGCTCTATGTTCGATTTTCTGTGACAAACATGATATATTGGTGGTGTATTATACTTCTATGTTCTATTTGTACTGAAATGTATATAGTAGTTGCTCTCGTAAGTGGCTAGTTTCAGTCAGTTGAGGGATGAGAGGCTATAAAGGTTTCTCTATTGCAAATGTGCACCTTTATTTCAGGAAGCTAATATAATCAAGCATGTTACACTGAAGAATACTGGACTGTGTGTGTTATTCTATTTTACGGTGCTAACTGCCTGATTGAATCAACTTGTTTCAGGATGGGCAAAAAGAAAGTAGCAGATGATGAGAGTGATAGTGACAGTGACAGTGATGTGGACGATAATGAGGGGGCAGATGCAAAACCCATAGCTCTTGATCATGGGAATTACTCAAATGAATCCAACAAAAGTGAGGAGGAAAAGGTTGATCTGGCTTCAGTTTCTGGGTCACATTCAGAAGGAGAGTCCTCAGGTGAGAAGTCCCAGAGCAGTGATTCAGAGGAAAATGGAAATGCTCTTCAGGAATCCATGGAAGTAAAGATTAGATCAGGATGTGATTTTGAGTCACAAGGTAGTTTGGAGTGTGAGGTGGGAACGGCAGTTCAGCCTGCTCCTGAGAACACTTCTGAAAACGGAACTTCTGAGATTGGTAAGAGTGCTCTTTCAGAAGAAGTTCTGAAATCAGATGCTCCTGAGAACACTTCTGAAAATGGAACTTCTGAGAATGGTAAGAATGCTCTTTCAGAAGAAGTTCTGAAATCAGATGATAGAACAGATGTGGATAACACCGGTTCAGCTACATCATCACTCCTTAATGACCCTGTGGTGCCTCCAGGGGAAGAATCTGCTGATGTAAATAACAAGTCTCTTCTTTCAGAGGAGCCTGTGGACCTGGCAACATTCAGTTCAGCAGCAGAATTGGAGGTATGTTGTGTTTCTAACCCCTCTGGGTACATATTTATCACCACAGTTACATAACAACACTGTGCCAGACATGTTGATAGGTAGTAGTGATTTTGTCACAAATAAAAGGAAATGTTGCTCTAGGCAGCTGAATTCTTGGGGAAATTCATTAACTTGACAATAAGTCAGCTGCTAGTACCAATTAGTGGTAATATAGCATAATTTTTATACACATGTCATACTATCACAGTGACAGTACAAGTTACTTAAACCAGAGTTTTAAAGATCAAATTACTTTCAGCTCATCCAAATAGCATTCATGGTTCTAATCACAATAGTTTGTTTTCTGATACTCAACAAGTTTAATGTTACCCTCCGAAACACTAGTCCATCCTATTCTATGGCCAATTTATCTTTACATGAGGTGCTGATGGGAATTGTGGATTTTTTTAATGCAAAGCTCATATATATTGTACTCATGTGCATAATTAGCTCGTGTAGAACTTCCATTGTCATTCAGTGGACTCCACCTGTGATAACAGTTGACTTATAATCATCGAGGTACTATAGCCGGTGTACTGCAGTTATGGGCCCTTAGGACAGCAGGAGTTGCCGCCTCCCTCTTGTCTACGTCAGTATTGACGTATTTGTTTGATTAGAAAATTTTCTTACTCCCTCTGATCTATATTAATTGTCTCTGCTTTACAAAGTTGTACTAAACCTGCGACAATTAATATGGATCGGAGGGAGTACTAGAAATTTTGACCTGGCAATTCTAACTAATGATCAGAATAGTTTTACTAAACTTTAGATTGGATTTTAATCCCTTGGAGTCTTTGGTGACAAGTTGGGTCATCTCTATAATAGTCTATGCATTGCATAACTTACAAGTTCAAGCAATAATATGTCTTTCTCCCATCAAAATTCTTCTCTCTTATCTATGTTTGGAAGTCTTAGGTGACAAGTTGAATCATCACTATAGTAGTCCGCGTTTTGCATAGCTTAGGAGATGAAGCACTAAGAAATAATCAGTCTTTCTATCATCAAAATTCTTCTCTCTCATCTATAATCTATTTCTCCCTATTCTAGTACTCCCTCCGTCCCGAAATACTTGTCGAAGAGATGGATAAAATTGGATGCATCTATAACTAAAATACGTCTAGATTCATCCATTTCTTCGACAAGTATTTCTGGACGGAGGGAGTATCTCGTATCCTTCATGCTGTGCGCCACCTCTGCCCTCTATCATTTAACAAGTTATGAACTGTGGTTCATGATAAGACATATCCAGCTCCACACTACTTTGGTCTGAGATAATTATTCTAATGTCCTCCTTATGTTTGGTACATCCTCTATTCCAAATTTCCTGAAGTTCTAGCTTGTCCTAAGTCAAACTTCTTTAAGATTGATTAAGTCTATAGAAAAAATATACCAACATCTCAACAACACCAAATTAGTTTTTCATTAAATTCATCATAAAATACATCTCCTTACTTTATATGTTTGATTGATATTGCACATCTTAGCACATTTTTCTATAGACTTGGTCAAATATAGAGAAGTTTGAGTTAAGACAAAACTAGAAATTCAAATAATTTGGAACAGAGGGAGTATGTAAAATCTATTTGCTGAAGAACTCATTATATGTTTTGAAGTTTGAAGTATCTCTGGCATTTCATGTTGCACTCATTATATGTTTTGAAATTTGAAGTATCTCTGACATATCATGTTGCTCATAAACTCTGTTGTCATCCAGGCACTTGGCATGGAGAAGCTAAAGCTGGAGCTCCAGACTCATGGACTAAAATGCGGTGGCACTTTAAAAGAGCGCGCGGCCAGACTGTTCCTTCTGAAAACAACCCCAGTGGATAAACTACCAAAGAAGCTGCTTGCGAAACCCAACTCTGGAGGGAAGTGAGATGTAGTAGCAAATAACGATTACTATCCCAAGAAAACAAATTACGATGTCAAGTTCATCTGTAATACTGTACTTGTTGTAATGTGATCAGAAAGCTTTTGCCTTGACACTGAAAACTAACGAAATCTCTGTATGTATTATGCCGTTCCTTGCTGCTGCTTGATTTTCTTTTTATTATCGCTGGAGGTTCCTCAGCCTCTAGCGATAAGTTTGCGCATTCACATATCCTGAGGCTGAATTTTCTTGTATTCTCTGACGCCATAATCAGATTATCAGAACTTAATCTCCGCAAAGACATAATACAAGATGAGATACCGCTTCCATGGAGTAGAACCTATCTATTGTTGTGATTTTCACTGTTCTAATGTTGGCTCCTTTAACCCAGTGAGATGATACGCCATGCATTGATGTGTGATTTTGGTTCCAATATATTTCATTGATTTATACCCTCTCCGTCCCATAATATAAGAGTGTTTTTTACACTAGTAGTGTCAATAACGCTCTTATATTATGGGATGGAGGGAGCATTATATTTGTATGATATTTGAATTAATAATACGAGAAGTGAAACTAAAAATATATTTGATTATTGCATAGTTGTAACATATTTATCGGGTACAAGTAGCACATAGTAGAACGAAAAAATGGCCGAACTTTTTCCATGAATGTTAATAGGCATTGCAACAACCTCTATTTATTTTATAGACTTTGGTGAATACGTCGTAGACTTGGCACAAGATTGCTTGGCAGTTGCTGTGCTAAATTTCTCCAGACCAAATCAAGTGAACTCCTCCTATGGTTACACATCGAGGCGTGAGCACCATTCAGGTCTCGGTTGCGCTTTTGCTTTCTCCCTTTACCATGTTTGATTGATTCGAAACGGTCTTGGATAGGCCTCACGTTGCCTTCTTAACTCGAGCACGATAACTTTGAGCCGGTCTGCAACGGCGACGGTCCGATAGCGGCTTCAGGTCATGGAGGCAAGAATCTCTTCACTCAGGTCAGGTGGTGACCGTACTTTTATCAAGTGGCCAAAGGCCCCTCAGCCCCTGGCATTCACGGAATCCCGCCATTGGATCACTCGGAAGTCCAGAACACAATCATTCTACATGACCAAGTTCAGACGTGTGGTGGAAATTCAGAGGTAAAAGTCTCTTGCATCGCCGATTGGTGGAGGTTAAAGAGAAGGGAGAAAAATGCGAGAAGATCGCGTGCGAGGGCCGGGCGGCGCTCGATCCCACAGATCGTGGTGCACTGCACCGGACGGCGACGCGTGCGCCGTGCCGTCACGGCGCGCCATGCCTCTGGACCAAGGACATGCCGTAAGTGGCGCGACGACCACATCGCCGCTGCAGAATTGGCCTCACTCGGGTCGTCGTGTTGCTTTCCTTCCGCTCGAGTGGCACTAATTCAGTGGCTGGGTGACCGGGTCGCCTGCTTGCCCTCTTCCTGTTACGAAGGCGGCCGCCGCACGGCCAAGAACGCATGGGCGTTCTTATCGCAATGGTGTGTGCTTTGGGGCCAAGCTAACGGGGCGATATGGGCTTGATGGTGTTTGTGTTTTGATTTGTCTGCCATACTTGTACCGTTTTGTTTACTTGCATGAAAGGGGCTAGGGTCGTAGCTTATGGCGTATTTTTTTCAGTCATCACACATCAGTCTAATATAGGAAGAAGCCTTCAGCCAGTACTCCCCAACATACGAACCAGCCAAGGAATGCAGAACGATACCAATAAGAAAATTAGACTGTCCTGATCTTTCCTCCGTTTCAAAATAGATGACTCAACTTTGTACTAATTATAGTATAAAGTTGGGTCATCTATTTTGAAACGGAGGGAGTGGTTCCTAGTACTTGCCGTGCCACCGTACGCTATGCAACACCTGAACAAAGTACATGGCCGAGTGACGAGTGACCAGCGGTTAAGGCACTGTCTACGTACTAAAACTCTTAAACCACGGACACGTCTACCAGCGGCTACTGCGCCTGCGCGGAACTAGGTCGACATGCATATACGCGGAGCTAGCTCTCCTGTATCACGGCGAGCCTCGGCGCCCACGCGGCCCCGCACGTTGCCGTGCTCCTCCCGCCGCCGCCGTCCCCCGCCCTGAGCTGGCCCGTGAGCTCGGCGATCCTAGCCTTGCGCTCCCTCGCGCTCTGCTCCTCCAGCCGCGCGATCAGCTTCTCCGCTTCCTTCCTCGTCACCACCACCTTCACCGTCATCACCACGGTGGATCCGTGGCCGCCGCCTCCCACCTGCTGATCCTCGGCCCCGCGTCGACCCCCGGCGGCCCGCGCTACCTTCCCGCCATGCCTGCGTGCCGCCGAGAACACACGTCTCGATGGTACGGCCGGCGTCGCCCCGGAGCGCGAGGCCCCGGCCGCCCTGGCTTTCGGCGTGGCCTCGTGGCGCATGTTGCGCGGCACGGCGTTGCCCATGTGTACGGTAGCTCCGTGAGCGTATGTACGTTGCTGCGCGCGGAGTGACCGGTGTGGTTTGTCCGAGTGATAGGATGCGCGGTGCCTTGCGCGCGCGGCGATTTATAGCGTGCAGCGCGTGCGTGGCGAAGAGCTAGTGAAGGAGGAGGAGTGGAGGACTCGTTCAAAGGGCGTAAAAATGACGTGCGCGTGCGGTGGACTGACCGGAGAGTGGAGCGTGTAGACCGGGGAAGGGCTCCCGCGGTGGACGCACGCAGCACGCGAGCGGGCTCCTTCTGGAGCTTCCTCCGGGCGTGAACTGACACGATCCTCTTGTTTCGTTTCCATGAGACTTTGGGTGTCAGTAGTGACACCCAATACGTTCCTCCTTGACCGACTTCGGCCATATAAGCTAAGTTGCTGATCCATTGAGGACGTGATTCCTAGGACCCGTTTCACCAGCGATACCAAGGTGGGCGTCGTGTTCATTCTCGACCGTTGATCAGCCATCGAGTGGGGATTTCTTTTTTGTTTCCGGAATGCACCATATATAGAATAAGAGCATCTCTAGCAGACCCCGTATAATGCGCGGACCAGCATAATTTCAGCGAGTATACGGGCCCGGCCTAATTTTCTGGCCATAACAGAGCCCGTATACTGGTCCGACCCGTAAACTCTTTTACCGCGGCCCGCGAACCTTACCCCCGAAGCCGTATAACTATATGTTTGCGGGGCAAATACGGGTCGAAACCCTATCCCCCGCTGCCGCGTTTTCCCTTGATTCCCCACTCCCTCCCTTGCATTTCTCGCCGCCGGTGAGCCCCGTTCCGCCTCTAGTCGCCATGTGGGGCGGTATGTGGTGCTCCGCCGCAGCTGGGGGGGGGGGGCAACGACCCCGAGCATGAGCGGTGTGTCCGCGCTAACGGCGCGAGGAAGCGCGTGGCCCGGAAGTGGGCCAACCAAGGCCTCCAGCCGCCGGCAAGGCTCCTCAGTCGCGAGACGGAGGAGTATGACCGCCGGCATGGGAGGACGCCCTCCTCGGCCGCGGGCTGTTCCTCGGTCGCGGGCTCCTCCTCTGCCGCGTGGCGCTTCTCCCCGTGAAGAGGGAGCCGGAGGAGGACGAGCTCCTCTTCGTCAAGCGGGAGCCGGAGGAGATCCCGTGACGAGGCGTCATCGGTCCCGAAGGCTTCATCGGCGGCGATGTCTAGGCAACCGTGGCCGCGATTGCCGCACGGAGCTTGCAAGAGGAGGAGGAGCTCCGCCGCTATGATGAGGAGATCCAACAACTCATTTTCAAGCAGGGGGTCGCGACCAACCTCGCCGCGAAGGAGAAGGACGATGAGTGGCGGCGCGTCTGCGAGGAGGACTGGCTAATGACTGAGCTCCTCCACCGCGTTGGCCACGCCGCCGCGAGCTCGTCCATTTTGGTAGCCGCCGCGAGCCCGAAGATCCACCCCTCTAGTAGTAGATCAATGTAGTATATGATGAACTATGATCAATGTAGTATGTAGATGAACTATGAATGATCAATGTGGTTGCAATTTCTCCCGCGAAAGATTTTTCTTAAATTTTACAGTTTCATATACGTGGTCTATTCTGCAGCGCATGATTTTGCCCAGCAAAACAGATGTTTCTCGGCTGTAAACGCGTTATGCGGGTCGGCATTATACGGGGTTTGCTAGATATGCTCTAAAGAGGTGTATCCTACGAATAAGACGGCGTATCTAAGATGATGTGTCGGTTCAGTGTCTTGGAGGTGCTCATAGGGAATATGCATGTGTGCATTCATAGGAACGAGTGTATGTGCATATTTATGAGCGTCTGTGTCTATACTGTATTCAAGAATAAGAAGGCAAACAAACAAGGTGGCTGCTAGGCGTCATCTGGCTCATCTTTGGGGAAGCTCGTGGCCCTTCGATCCACAACAATGTGCGCACACTCCCCCCCCCCTCTCATCTTGTATCTATCACTCCCCAACATGCACAACAACACAACGCCGGACAAAACTTGCAACACAACGAGGTTGTGAACCGAGCAGCAGCAGCACTGATGCCCCCACCGTAGCATCGACACCGAACTCGCATCACAACGATGTTGTGATCCTTTATGAGCGCAATACCGGTCACTATGTGTTCCATTCTCATCATGCAGCATCGCCGATTGCTGCGAAAAGAGGCAGCGGGCGACATCGGCGGTGCCTCCATGGATGCTACTTGGGAACTACTCCTCTCCCGCATCATGGTACATGTCCGTCGCCTCCTCGTCGCAGCATACACTGCCCCAAATCGCCGGTGCCTCCATGTTTGGTTATGCAACATGCGTCGCCTCTCCGACAAAGCAACATCATAGCATCGCCGATGTTGCATTGAAGCATGTGTGGCCGGCGAGATCTTTGGGTTGCAGCACCGCAGTCGTTTCATTGCAGCGTTCGCTGCTAGGGGAGATCCTGCGGTCGCAACACTGACTAGCGAGCGATGTCGTGATACGTCTCCAATGTATCGACTTTTTCAAACACTTTTGCTCTTGTCTTGGACTCTACCTTGCATGATTTGAATGAAACTAACGCGAACTGGTGATGTTTTGA